ATTATTATTATTATTATTATTATTATTATTATTATTATTATTATTATTATTATTATTATATATATATTTTGAAGTGAATCATATTTACACCGCAGTGAGATTCTTTATCAAACAAATGTGTTGAAGGAAATACATTTTATATCCATATTCAAGGCCTCACTGAAATAAGGGCCTGAAGTTAGTTGCTCCAGCTGTCCCACTCTCTAGACACCCCTGCATGGAAAATCTTTTGAAGTTTAAGTCTTCTTCTTTCCAAGGATTTATTCATGAGCGCCTGTTCCATATCCTTTTTCCAATTCAACTTATTCTCTTCCTAAGTCTTTCGACATTTCTTTTCCCTTCGGTTCCTCCATCATTAATATTTTTTTTTTCTTAATCTGTTCTTCCATATGGTGCCATAATAATTTTTTGTATTTCTCAGGTTATAAATTGTTTTCATTTCTGATCGCAGAACATATAACATTCAGATATTGAAAACAAAAATCGAAAAATTATAATTTAAAATTTTGAAATGAAATAGAAAGCTAATATAATACTTTACTGCGGGGAATACATCCTACCGTAATAAGGTTCATTTACGTCTTAAACAAGTAAAGAATCTTCTGACAAAGCCAGGCTCAGTTCCTGTATTTAAACAAGTTATCGTTTAATGTTTGCTTCTGGTTTTCTCTGAGTATTTCGTTAATGTAAATCTTCAACTCCTAACATTTGTGGATATCAACAGACCTACTGAATTGTTTTCCAGCCGTAACTATTAAATAACTCTAAAGTAGTGCTAAATTAAATTGTAATACCTAACACGCTGTTAATATGGATGAAATTCAGACCAAGCAACGGGGATATTCCCTACTGATAACTGAAATGAGGGGTTTCCGACAAATTGCATTGCGTATGAAGGTACGTTACAAAAATGCTTACGAAAGATAACTACTCGTACAAGGGGGGAATGTGTAGTTTCAAGCAGATACAGCAGTGTAAGAAATATCATTGTTACCCACACTATACTGCGTCGTACCATTTCCGTTTATGGAAATATTGTCTGTCGTGTCAACGATTTCTTCAGTCATGATTATGAGAAAAGTCTTTGTGGTGAGGGCGCAGGTCGGAAATAGGAATGGGAGCGCATTTGCCGCCTTCGCTAGAAATCTTGACGTTTCCTTGGATAGATGAGAATTATTAGAAATCAAAAAGCTTTGCTTAGATTGTCGCAAGGAATGCTTTTCCAACTCTTTGAGGTATGAATCAGTATTCTTCCATATCGCTTTCGTAAACTTCCTATTTATGAATTGGTATTTTTTCTTGAGTTTCCTTCTGTTTCCTATACCTTTATTTTTAGACTACATTTTTTAAGGCGAAAGACTAATTGATGTATTTAAGTCTTTTATTATTGATACATTTATGTAAGAGGAAAAACAAGTTATTTAAGGTTCCGAAAGTATAAATTTACGTAGATTATAGTGGCTTGTGGAAAACAAAATTTTCTCTTCTATTACGCGGTAAGTTAAAATTCTAATCAAATACGTTTTTCACATTTCCGATTACGGCATTCCTGGTTTGGATTTGTCGAACATCCGCACAATATACTTTAGATTTAAATATTGTTACTTCCGGAGGCATCGTTATCGATCCGGGAGTTTCTTACATTTCAATTTTTGGTTTTTAAGCTCCCACTTCAGTTATGACGTCCCAGTTGTACGAACGCCGGTAGTCATCCAAATTAAATCGGAGTAGAAGTGTTGACGGAGAAAAACTAAGATACATACAATAAACAAGTGGTTTAAGATAAATTTAATCATTAAGCAATCAATAATCATGGAGCCTATCCGGTGGCCGAAATCGCAAGGCAGTACTGCCGTAGCGATCTCGGACTGAAGGATCGCGGGTTTGAGTCCTGCCTCAGGCATGGTTGTATTGTGTTCGTCCTTTCACCCCTATCATCATATCGTGTCATCCTCACAGTTACCATACCATTACAAGCAATAGTGGTCGCTAATGATCTAGAAGTTGATGCTACCTTAAAGACCAAAAAAATCATGGAATATACTCGTATTACTACACTCAAACTGGCAGAATGTTATTTTGCTAGTAAGTGCCGAATATATGGCTAAATGTTTTTTGAGAAAAGTTCGAATGTCCCAGTCAATTTCCTCTGAATGCAATTTCTTCATCTGTATGAATGTTGCATTGACTGTCAAGTAGCGCATTGTGATAGACGTTTTCCTCGAAGCGTGAAGTTGAAAGAGTTTTCCTGTCGGTTGCATCAGCGCCAAGAAACTCTCATTTCTATGAATAGATGTTTTCTCGTTCAGCAAAGACGTCTTGCTAGATTTATTGCAGAAATTCAATGGTAATTATGTACGCTTTGACAGTACTTTCACCTAGTCTTGGATTTATATATAGTGTCTCATCAAGGTCAAGAGCTGGAAGAAAAGGGAGATGATGTCGTATACACGTTACATTTAGAATATCTATTGAAAATTTCCTCCAATATTTTCTAGACATTTCGTGTTATCCGAAATCCTACCAATACCCTCTAGTATCTACAAAGTATTTATTCATCTCACACGACTATTCAAAATCAATTCATAATGTTAATTACAAAATCATCGTGTTTCATCAATAACAAGTGAATAATTATTTAAAAATGAATATAATAAAAAACAAAATCTATCTCGCACATAATTTT